CGAGTCGATGTTTTTTTTTTTTTTTTTTTAACGCTATCTTTATGACATTGACTGTGACATAATTATAATGACACTGGCTGTGAAGTAACTATTATCATTTACGTAACTTCTCGCATTTGCTAATTAATATGAATTAATGAGTCAGTGTGTGTGTGTTTTGTGTGTGTATGTGTGTGTTTTAGCAAGCATGCACGATATAGTGGCTGTAGTTTTTTTTTTTTTTTCAGTAAATACCTATAGGTGTCTGAGTATCAGAGGGAAGATGAATAGATATCTGAGTAGTGGAGGCAATAAGAATAGAAATAGATGGCTAAGTATTCGAGGGAAAGGGAATTGAAATAGGAATAAATAGATGTCTGAATAGTGGAGGGAATAAGAATAGAGTTCCCCACAAGTTTCGGGGATTAATCCCCTCCCCCTCCCCCTCCCCTTGACAATTTACAACGGGCCAAGTGCCCCTCCCCTTCCCCACATGTGTGACAGCTCTCTTGTTAATTACATATTAAGAGTGACATTTTTGCAAAGACCCCTGGAGATCGTCGCCGGAGCAACGGAGCTCATGTTTTATGCGACGCTCTCAGCAGTCGATCCTCTCGACGTAAACTTTTAACTTTAACTTAATTTTACTTCCAATATTATTATATTTATTTGTAATATACAATATAATACGTATTATTATTGCGCACTTAAGCAATACTTAGACCCCCTTGAGGTTCCTTGCTCTTAGAAAAATATAAAAGGACAGAGCGTTCTTCCCCCTATCGCCCCTCAACGTAAATTTGCCCGACGACACTAAAAAAACAGCCTAAAAATGTTGGAGTTGGTTCTGCAATGTTCTGTAGAGGATACGCAACTAATTTTTATTTTAATGGACACTACATACACACTGTCGGCTCTGTGGTTAGGTCGATGCGAACGCTTCGTAATGCCGGGATGACGTGTTCGATCCTAGCTGCGGGCCATGCACCTTGCTTTGGTTTCGACAGTGGTATCATGAAAGCCGACCGTCCATAAAGCAATGGCAAACTACTGGACGTAAATTTGCCTATAAAGACCACACAGCAGCCAGGGGCTATTGGGGTTGGTTCTGCAACGTCCTGTAAAGGATACGCAACTAACTTTAACATACACATGGGGGAGCTGCAGTGGTCTAGAGGCTAGACGCTCGCATGCGTGTCTGTAGATCGCGGGTTCAGGTCTCGACAGAGCAAGACTATTTTTTTCAAAAATGACCTTGGCTCCCAGGTCCACCCAATCTTATTAAAAGGATACCAGTCCTGGGAAGTAAAGACGGTCGGCATGATGGTGACCACATCACTCAGCCAATGCCGACTGGTCTGTAAAATATAGGTCTAGCCCTGAATGCCCAATACACCAAAAGGTGCAGAAAAGTATCATTTACTTTTTACTTACACTCTCATGAAATATTTATTAACTATGTCTCTTTTCCTGTCTGCAGGTCTAAGTGGAGCAGGCAAGAGCACACTGGCCAAGCAAGTCAGGTAGGAACATTCTTAGAAACACTCACAATATACACTTTTATATACATTTGGCGTTTGTGGTTTAGGCTTCGTAATGCCGGGGTGTCGGGTTCGATCCCAGCTGCGGGCCTTGCACCTTGTAGGTAGGTAGGTAAGTTGTACCTCACCAGGACATCACACAAGCGATAAACACCCGATGACACAAAGTACTACCATGCGAATGACGATCACCCGTGGAGAAGATATCAGAAATCACGTTCAGCCGTTAGGCTATATTTAGGGACCCCCGGCGAAAGCCAGGGTGGGGTCGTTGGTTTCGACAGTGGTATCGAGCAGCCGACCCTTCAAAAAGCAATGGCAAACTACTGGACGTAAAGTTGCCTAGAAAAAAAAACATCCTAAAAAAATAATGGGGTTGATTCTGCATTGTCCTGTAAGGAATATGCAACTAACTATATACATAATTACTCTGGGTTTATGTAATGGGATTTGTGAAGGCGTAGTGCAGTGCTGTTTGACTAAATGTACTATGGGGCCAAAAGTTGAAAAATGGGGATCGTCACCGCACATGTATCTGGGTGCCACTTGCTATACCTTCGCGGGCCAAATTTGGCCCGCGGGCGAAAGTTGAAAAGCTCTGGCGTAGTGACTAGACGCTTGGGGACCCGGCTGAAGAGTTTGTTTTTGAATCCCCTTCGCAGCGGATTTATTGTTTTTCTTCAGAAATGATCTTGGCAGTGAGCTCCACCCAGCTTATAAAGGTTTTCTTTCATTACATTCTTTTTTCCTAAACTGTCAAATCTCTTTCGTAAGCCACCTCGCTTACATACAGTTAAGTTACTGAGTGCAAACCAGTATGATTAAACACAATGAACTATCTCTCTATTACACAGACATTACATTGCTTACTTACACTTAACTCGTAATGCCGTCAATCTAGCACGTTATCACAAACTGCCGCTATCTTAAATCAGTTGCACAAACATCCAACAGATTCGATCCTAACTGCAGGCCTTTCACCTTGCATTGGTTTCGACAGTCGTATCCAGAAGCAGCCCGTCCAGTAGGCAATGGAGAACTACTGGACGTTAAAGTGCCTAGAACCACAACAGCCAAAAAATGTTGGGATTGGTTCTGCAATTTCCTGTGAAGGATATGCAACTAACTAACCGTTTACCCTAGGGTCAGTCCAGTCTCTGTGAATCCTGGAGTCTGCATTCGTCTGTCACAATATTCTAGTCGGAAACACCCGTGGGCTGCTGAACGTGGATTATCTAAGCGGTCATCTAAGTCCTAGTCTGTCATTCACTATCGTCACCTACAGTCGTCCATGGCCACACAGACCCTTGACATCCACCCCCTTATCTTTACTGATTCTTCCTGGCGTGAGACCTAAATACTATTGACACTGTCTGCAGTCAATTATCTGCTAAAGCAGTGTGGAATGTCGACAGATATGTCTCCTGGTACTTGACATGGCATTTAACCTGTAGGTCAAAATATGAAATGTTAGATAACCTGTAGGGTGATACATGAAATGATATATTACCTGTAGAATGAAACATGCAATGGTAAATAACCTGTAGAACCATACATAAAATAGTATATAATGATATATAAAATGGAATATAGCAAACAGGATGATACATGAAATGGTATATAACGAAGCCTGGTACATGAAATAGTATATCCCTTGTAGGACGATATGTGAAATGTTTATAGCCTGTAGGATGGGTGCTTTCTTAATATTCTACCCCAAACAGGGGAAATCCACACCTCACGGGACAGTCTAATATTTCAGTGTGTGGTAGATAGGCTGCATGTAGTCGTGGGACCTAGGCCGCACTCTCTCGTGGGACGTAGGTGGGTTGGGGTAAGGGCCAGTTCTAGATGTTTTGGCGCCCTTAAAAGCATCAGTCTTACCACCCTCTAAAATATTAGACCGTCCTGTGACGTCATCCGGGGTAGGATATTTTGAAAGAACCGTAGGATGATGTGTAAAATATATAGCCTGCAGAATGATGCATGAAATGGTATATAACCTGTAAGATTATATGTAAAATGTATATAGCCTGCAGAATTATGCATGAAATGGTATATAACCTGTAGGATGATTCATGAAAAAGGCTTCGCCGACAAGGAGAAGGCCTTGTACCGAGAAATTGTCCGACAGAACGTGGTCGCCGCTGTCCTTGGCGTTCTTGAACAGATGGAAGCAAATAATGTGCATTTTGCCACAGAAGAGTTACAGGTAAGATGTTGCTCTGTTTAGTGCCGTCTATATGCCAGTTTGTTAAATTACCTCTTTCACTACCAACCAGAGAAATACATTTTTAGCCACGGAAATGAGATGTCTGAGAATCGCTGCAGGAGTGACCAGAAGAGATAAAATCATAAATAAGGTCATAAGAGAACAAGTCGGCACAGAAGCTATTCTAAACTACGTACAAAGACAGCGAATCGAATGGGTTGCCAACTGACAGAGAATGCTATGTGAAGCCATACCTTATGAGATATACACCAGCAGAGAAGGACGAAAAGCACAAGACAGACCAAGAAAAAAATGGAAATATAAGATTCGAGAAACTCTATACCAGCACGATGTGTCTATGGTTGACGCGGTCAGGGGTGCGAGAAGCAGAATCTTTTATCTCCCTCGACATCCGAAGCGGTTACAGAGGGGTGAAGAAGAAGAAAAGTACCAACCAGCTCATAGTGCGTTTCTCAGTCATTCCAACGGTAATATAATATTCTTTGCGTCTTTTATCACATACTGATAAACATCTTTCATTGAATTGATTAATTCACATGCTTTTACCGCATAAATGAATGAATGAATGAATGAATGAATGAATGAATTAATGAATGAATGAATGAATGAATGAATGAATGAATGAATGAATGAATGAATGAATGAATGAATGAATGAATGAATGAATGAATGAATGAATGAATGAATGAATGAATGAATGAATGAATGAATGAATGAATGAATGAATGAATGAATGAATGAATGAATGAATGAACTAATTAATTAATTAATATGAGTTGATCTGGGAAAAGCATTTAGGACAAGCCCCTATTAGCTTTATCTCCTTTTCCAACAGTCAGCGAGCGGTCTTCCTACTGATGGTACTCGTTGTCACAAAAATGAATGAACGAATGAATGAATGAATGAATGAATGAATGAATGAATGAATGAATGAATGAATGAATGAATGAATGAATGAATGAATGAATGAATGAATGAATGAATGAATTTATTAATTAATTAAACAAGAATTAACATCACTGCACTCGTGACATTCCCATACACGCCCACTCCCATTCATCACTAGCCAGCGAAGAGGGGAGAGGAAGAGGAGGAGACGGAAAATGGGGAGGAGGAGGAGAAGAATGAAGCAAAGGAGAAACAGCACCATCAGCAGAAGCGTGAAGAGGAAGGGAGAGGAGAAAAGATGGAGAGTGAGAAGAATGTTGCCTATGTAAATTGATACTACGACTACAATTGGCTTTCAG